TTCGGAGCCCTTACGCCGGGTTCTCCCCGGAGCTTCTCTTCTCCCTCCGTTTCAGGTCCCTGCCACTCAGTTCAGAGGCAAGATCGTTGACAGCTGAGATCAGCCGGATTGTGCCTCATCATATGGTATGGACCCTGGTTCACCTTTCACATGAACCTTCCAATAGAAATTCATCACATCATCCTAAATGGTTTTAGGATTTTTTTTGACCAATATGGTTTTAGGAAATTTAACGGTAGTTAAACAATATTTAGGGTTATCTTGAAGCAGTGACATTGCAGTCTTGAACCAATCAATTCCCTTTTTGTTACATGAAACCAAATCGGCAGTAAGTTTCCAAGGATGCATCCTCTCTCTCTCTCTCCTTTTTTTTTTTGTCTCTGCTCTCCTTCTAATTCACTCATTTCTTTGTCGTTAACTGCAGTTAAGTCTCAATAATTTTATAGAATGAAAATGGCGAATTTCTACTGAAATGTTCGTGCGAGAGGTGAAAGAAAGGGTCTATAGAATGTTAGCTGTGGGATCAAGTTCCAAAACACTTGAAAAGGCTTACAAAGGACGCAAAGGCGCATTATGGATTATAAAAGTTACAGTGGTTGGAGGATTATGATTTCCACTGAATGAAGATATCATTTACAAGTTGCAGTGCGAAAAGAACGCGGATCAAACAAGGCAAGCGAGTGACACCCAATTGCAAAGCAGCCTAATGGTCAAGCATCCAAGTTAGAACCATTACAATGGCTACGTGCATCTTCCTCTTCATCGGAATCCGGCAGGTGATCAAAGAAAGCATCCAGGTACCACGGGCATTTCTCGTTCCAGTCTCCCCTGTTGGCGCTGGCTCGCCATTTCTGGTCGGATATCACCTCAGGAGAGAGTCCCCATTCCTGAAGCTCTTCCTCCGAGTGATGAATAGCCAAGCTGTACTCCCCTCCCTGTCCCAGTTCCATTACTCGGAACTCACAGTTGCCCAGATTGTTTAGGTATTCGAATTGCTCCACCGTCCACTTGAACCACTTCATTAGGAAGACTCGCAAAGCCAGCCCGTGTGAGATAATCACCAGATTGACCTCATCGTTGCTGTCACGGTGAAGCCTATTCATGTCTATATCCCTCCACAGCGACTCCAAGAAACCTGTGCGTATATAATTATCAATCAATCTTGAGCCTTAAACTGAATTGTTAATAGAGAGAGAGAGATTCTTACTTGAAACTCGATCAAAGACATCGGCAGCGGACTCGCCCTCCGGGAACCGAAAGAAGAAGCGTCCGAACCTCTCCCTGGTCTCTTTAATAGCCTTCATCCTCTCTTCCACCTGAAAATTCCCGAAGTCTTGTTCCCTTATCCGGCATTCCTCTCGTACCCCAATAATCCTCTTCTTTGGGATCGACCTCCCGATCTCACAGAGGGTCGAACGGGTCCGTTGGTATGGTGAAACGTAGAAATAAACCTTCCAATTTTGAGATTGCCCATCATCAGAAATTACGCGACGTATCTTTTCGCCGGCGGCACGGGCCTGGTTGAGGCCCTGAGGGGTTAGAGGGATCTTGTTGTCAGGGGTGGTGGTGTAGGCGGAGCCATCGAGGTTACCTTGGCTCTCTCCATGTCTCACTAGGATAATTCTCTTCGGGAGAAACTTGTGCTCAGGATGAACCATTTCTTCTTCTGTATTACCGAACTGGGTTTCTCTTTTGTGGCGCGCCCCGAGGAGACTATAAATAGATGATGATGATGATGATGATGATATAGTTTTCTTCTATCGCGGGTTGGTTTTCAGTTTTCTTGGTTTAAAAGCGAATGCTGTTAGAAAAGAATGTATAAAAAGGAAATCCATATTCATACTGCTTTCCTTCTTACCTGTAAAGCTCTCAAATTCAAAAGCTAATCTAAACTGAACAGGGGTTTGGATAGATTCCATCCAGCACCCATTTCCAGAAGGAGTGAAATTTCCGTTTGAACGACTTCCAATCTACCACCCATGGCCCATAGATCGATCTAATCTTCTTTTTTTCTGATCGTTCACCCGCTTTCGTTTTCTGGTTGGCAGGACAAAGAAACCGGCCCAGATGTCATACCGAGCACGCGGAATGAAGTACAAACACGGCGGCTTAGACGCTTCGGTAGTGCTAACCTGAAAGAAGAATTATTAGACTCCCTTCATCACTGGTCCAGCCTGCCTCCTGACATGTAAGCTGGATCTGGATCTGGCTGGAATGGCCTCGGTCAACCACCAATAACCAAGGACGAAACAAAACGGGAGAGTGTTTTGAAATTCAAAACCAAACCGACGCGGAGGCCGAACCGTTTTTGCCTCCGGGTTGTGGGTCATAGGTCCCACCGGCCAGATGAACGGTTCAGACCGTGCCACATCAGTATATATATATATATTTAATTTATTTATAAAAATATTAAAATTGCAGGCTACGACCCTTGAGACGTATAGATCTCAAAAAGTTAATCAAAATAAAAAAAAAGCCATCTCATCGAACATCAGAGTGCAATGTTATGACTTTCGAAGTTTGCATACATAGTTAGTATCAAGGTTCAAAGTATCAATACATATCGGGTCGTATCGGCCGATATATATCATATCGGGGGCTTCCCAATACACCCCTACAAGGGGTGTTTCGGGGTCTTGACTGGTTCAAAGGTTGGATAGACCTTCAACCGACCCCTTTGAACCAAATTTGAAAAAAAAAAAGTTATCAATACTACTCAATACACCACTATTGCCATATCGGGCATATTGATATTTTGAATCTTTGTTAGTATGCAACATGCGACCCAGTCACCGGGTCAATTAGGTCAACAATCCAATTGTTCGAATCAGACGGTTTTTGGCATTTCTCCGGGTTTTACTTGAACTGGACCTAGAACCTTGACTAGGTGACAGTTCGAATGGTTCAATCGACCGGGTCGATGGCGGGTTGAAAACACTATTCAAAGCTATACTTTATTGATGAGGATAAAATAATTAAACTATTCAAAGACTAAAACTCAATGTTTTAAAAAACCGACCCAATATGGAATTGGAACCGCTTTGGGCCTTTGGCCATCAGTTTTCGGGTCAGTGGTTTGACTGTCCGATTTGAATGGACAACTCGTTATGGTAAAAAATTGTTGTCCAAGTCAATGATTTTTGGCCAAGGAACAAATTAAAGCTGAAACGAAAGTTGTTGCCTAAACCTTGGGCCGAATAGTCTAATTGTCTAGATTAACAACGGTTTGAAAGCACTGCTAAAACTTATGTGATAGCACGCAACTTATATAATATTTTAAAATTTCAATTTTACCTTTTTTGGTAAAAAATGCCATTCGATGTTGGTCCCTTGCGTTTATGACATGGTATCCCTTTGCAAAGGTGTTGTGGCAGAGAAACTTCCCGAGCTTAGACCTATTCATGGGTTGGGTAGCCCGACTAGCTGGCTAGGCTTGACTTGTTATTTTTTGGGTTTTGACAAAATTTCAGGCCCACGGGCTCGGGCATTAAATACCAGGACCGGTCATTTTTCGGGTCAGGCTCAAGCTTTCTCAAATAAGCCCGGCCCGATATTATTACATATAATAAAAAAACATTTATGTTATATATATATATATATGTGTGTGTGTGTGTGTGTGTTTCTTAAATTATTATTAAATATTAATTTACTATTAGAAATATAAATTAGTTTATTAATTTATTAATTAATACTAAATTAATATAATATTAGTTTATAACAGTACATTGAAAATAGGACATTTTGCGTGCAGATCGGGCTCGGGCTTGAGCTTTGGGCTTTATATAAGAGTCGAGCTCGGGCTCAAGATCTAGGCCCGATGGTCAGGTCAGGCTCGAGCTCGGGCATGCACATTTTTTGTTGATAAAGAGGCAAAGCCCAACCAAATAGGTCTACCTGAGCTCATATTTTCTGAATAGGAAATTATCTAACGATAACATGCTAGTCTCCGCCAAGGTGTCCCACTTTTTTCTTTTCCAATCTCAGTGTTTCTTTTAAAACAAACATCCCTTTTTCGATAACCAAACGGATTGTAAGTGTTTGGTTGGTGTCCTAGTTGGCCGAAGGTGCTATGTGGATGTTTCCATGGCCAAAGTCCTTGGACCATGTCAACATGCATCTACACTCCCACCTCGCAAAGTCGCACAGAGACAATGAGACTTATCCCTACCGAAGAGGGCGAAGCCTACCGAAAACCTCGGTGAACAACCTCATCACAATAACCCCGTGAAGCCCTTATCAAGCTACAACACGAATACTTGTCTTTAAAGGCATCCCCCCTCGAGGTAAAGTACTTTTTGTTCTCAACTCACTATTTGCATCCATAGCATCCACTACAGTTCTAACCAATATGTTCTCCTAAGCTCGTCCTAATTGACTACCCATCTCCCTTACTGAATCGAGCGTCGGAGTGCCTTCCTGAAAAAAATCTCCTCGAGCCTCTAATATCTCTCTATGCTTCCATACCCTGATGCACATATTCATCCTTCCCCCTTGGCTTCATCCAATTGGTAGGATCTCTTATCTACTTCATGTTCGACTCAGCACACCTCGAATTGGACAACATCATATTGGCATTGTCTGTGAGATACACACAAAAAGCCTATTCCCTATTCTCTCTTTTCATGCACCAAAACCAACCATGCCTAGAAACATATCCGACCGCTCAGGCGCTCAATCCCCATCCTAGGGGACTCACTCACACCGCATCTCACCACCCCAAGGATCTTAGCCACCTGCCCAAGTTGACCCTAAACAATTCAATGCCCTACAACAAAGGGTAGACTGCCCCATCACGATGATGGAGGCACTTGGGCAATCAATGCGAGCCCCAAGGGTGCCTATTGCTGTTGATCCTCGTCCCGAAGACCCCAAAGGGCAAAAAAACAAACCTAGTTGATTAGGCACATCACCTGTCTTTGACAATGAGCAAACCCTTCTTGTCAGGAGTCAGTTGTGTAATCATCTAACTCATTTTGAAAGGCCACCAAGGCCTTGTACTCAGAGACACCCTCTTCCTTTGCCCGAGCCACCCTTGCCTCGACCTCCTCCACCACCATCACCTGCCTTTGACACGAGCAAACCCTTCTTTTTAGGAGTTTGTTGCGTAATCATCTAACTCATTTTGAAAGGCCACCAAGGCCTTGTACTCAGAGGCACCCTCCTCCTTTGCCCGAGCCACCCTTGCCTCGGCCTCCTCCACCGCTTTCTTCAGTTGTTCATGCGCCACATTGAAATCGTGGACACGACTCCTCAGCTCCAGATGGCATCTTCCCTCTCTGTCGCCACCTTCTTCACCTCGAACAACTCGACCTTTAGTTGGGTGTTCTTAACCCTCTCGCCTCGAACAAACGGCAAAGGCAACACATATGGTTAACTAGACCAACAATTGAACACACCGCCTGCAAAAAGGCACAACAACTTAACAAAGACATAAGAAGTCATAAAGGAGAAGAGTGAAGAGAGACTTATCACCACAATCTAGTGCAAGGCCGATCTCTCCAAGAAGCTACTAGTATGCTTGTTGTCCTCCCTCTTAATCTCCGACAACATAATGCCACGGGCTAACTACTCAGCCACCCCTCCTTCTCTAGGGTGTTAGTAAGCCGAACTGTCTAAAGCGACACATACGCACCAGTCTCATCTTCCCCCCCCCCAACCAAACCTACTCTGGAACATCTCCCCAAGGGGTGGAGGATTGACGATCATGTTGTTAGGGGGCCTCCTTTGAGTCCACCACCACGACCTCCTCGGATAACCTCAAGCTTTTTGACTATCGAGGTGTGATCTTCGCAAAGCGTTGTTGAGGCCCTCGCCGCCTGATCCTTCCTCGCAGCCACAACCTGCATGCACCTTGCTCAGTCATCACCACCATCCATGTAGGATTATACACAAGGCAAAATCATCAGTCAAAAAAAAAGAAAGAAAAGAGAAAAAGGAAGAAGGCCAAAATCTAATCACAAAACAAACAGATCGGACTGGGACCGATTTGCCAAAGGACACATTAACCCGGCATGGATTAACATGTTGGTGAAGCATACTCCTTAATGTGCACCCGCACTATCCTCCTAATGGTTGCTACCTCCTCCCTCGACTTTTCATCCTCAGTAGGGGCCTTTTCCTTTGTCCTCGGACAACTAGCTTGGAAGGGAATGGCTAGACATCCTAATGTCTCACAAAAAAGAAGCCCTCATTCCAATGTTTGATCGAGGAGAGAGCTCCAACGAGCACCTTGGTGTTTAGTCTTTGCAAATAGGTAATAGTAACCCTGTTGGTGCTTCTTCATGTGGAGAAATTACCTAAACATTGATAGGGTGATTTGTATGTCTCGGATTGTGCAATAATAGAGGAGCCCGACCAAATACCTAAAATATTTCAGCATTAGTTGGACCGACTAGACATGGTATCACATCAACATGGTCACAACACCATGGTCCAAAGGAAACCTAGGGCAAGTGATTAGGCTGTGCTCATACATACAGATCTCACTGGGATGGGCCGAGGTGGCCCTCTCACCTATCTTGGGGCACCTTAGCTCAAATTCCTGGGAAATGCTATATGCCACCCGGATGTGAACCATGTCCTCAGAAGACAAACAGAGTCGAGGCAAAGCACTCCCCAAATCTCCTCGTGATAACCCGTTCTTCCTCCAATCCACCTTGGCTTTGACCTCTCTAGCCCCCTCAACGCCAACCTCCTCATGGACCTCAATCTCTCTAACCTTGATCACATTATTCCCGCTGGGAAGGGCGGAGCTTCCCAAAAACCTCGACGGGCGACCTCATCACAATAACCCCACGAAGCCCCTATGTCACTACAACACGGACACTCGTTTATTTAAATGCATCTCCCCCTCGAGGTAAAGGATTTTTGGTTCTTATGTCACAATTGCATCCATAGCATTCACCACGATTCAGACCAATCTGTTCTCCTCAACTCGTCCTAACCAACTACCCATCTCTTTACTGACTTGAGCATCAAAGTGCCTTATTGGAGAAAATCTCCTTGGGCCTCTGATATCTCTTTGTGCTTGTAGACCCCAGTGCGCGTCTTCATCCTTCCACCCCGGCCTTGTCCAGTTGGCAGGGTCTTATCTGCTGCGTGTTCGGCTCAACATACCTCAGATCGGACAACATTAGTAAGAAT